CCTGCTCCATGCTGCGGCCAGCCAGCCAGCTCCAGGGGTGCCTGAGGGCTGCGCCTGTTGGCATGGAGGTGTCAGAACACAGACAGGGCTGCCACACAGGCCCCAGGCGCTTCCGCTGGCTGAGCCCAGAAGCATCCAGCCCAGCAGCATGCCACGGGCCTGGCATCATTAAAAGCACACGGGCTGTGGGCACATCGTGGACAGGGCCAGGATGCGTGGCTCCTGCCGCGGCCCATCTGCAGCCCCACAACACACTGCAGCGCCTACAGGGAGGCTCAGCCCACTCAGTGGGGAAGGGATGAGCCCCACGTGCAGGTCACGAGGAACGAGGCCCATGGAGGCCATCAGTGGGCAAGCAAAGCCTTCAGCGTGCTGAGCATGGGGCAGGGCAGCCCCTCGCTGTCAGCTGAGCTGCTCCAGGTAGTCCGAAAGCAGCAGCTCTGGGGGCAGGAAGACGTGGTGCTTGTTGCTCACTTTCATTTGGCGTTTCCCTTCAATATCCGAACCTGGGGGCAAGATGGAAGAGTTAACACAGTGCTGCAACCCACAGCCCAGCCCCTCCCAGCAGCGCGCTGGGTTCCTGTGGTTCTGTTTTATGCCCTGCAAAGGAGTTGCCACCTCCAGCCCCCTCCACAGGCACCTCCTCTGCTTCATATTATCACGGCTCTCATGCTGTTTTGAACAAGGAGCCACAAAGACACAGTGTGGAGCTTCCCTCCCCTGCTATGGCAAAGACACCTACAGAGAAACCCACAACCAGGCTCTGCAAGGGGAAGCAGTGAGTGGGGGTGAGCACAGAGATCTGCTTTGAGCCACCCAAGCCCAGAAACAAGAGGGGAAGCCTAAGCACTGCTGCATGTGGCATCATGAGGTAGGGCTGCTCTGGCTATGGTCAGGCTATGGTGCAGCCTGGTGCAGGGGAGCAGCAGAGTATGGTTATCTGCAAGCTGCAGTGAGAGGTGGGGCCAGGGGAGGCAGGGAGGAAGAAGCTGGGCTGGAGAGGGGAGATAGTGACAAAAAGGAAAAACAAGGAACAAAAACAAACATGAGGCTCTTACTGGCAGAGACGAGGTCCATGTACTGGCAGAGTGCGTGGAGCAGGAGTCGCTCAAAGCTGGGGGGAGGCAGGGGACTGGGTTAGAGCTGATGTGCTTCACACCAGCACTGCCCTTCCCTGAGCTGTGCCAGGGAGCCCGAGGATCAGAGCGGGAGCACAGGGAGCCAGGAGCTCTGGGCTCAGCTCCCCCTTGTGCACCCACGACAGGGATACCTGTTGTCCATCAGTGCCGTGTACACAGAGTGTGGAGTGACAGAAAAGAAGGTCAGCAGCTCCTCCTCCAAGCACTCCAGCATCCCCTGCAAGGAACAGCAAAGGAATCAGTGAGGAGAGGGCAAATCCCATTAAGGGGAGATGGTGTGCCATGCCCAAGCTGCCATTCACCAGGTAGCTCCACACCCCACAGCCAGAGGACTTTGCCATTGAAGAAATGCAGCCCCGCCAGCAAATACTTGGCTTTCCCCATCCACTGCTAAATCCACGCAGCTCAAAGCACAGCAGGAGATGCAGGACAGCAGGGAGGCACGTGGCAGTGAGGCCCAGAGCAGAAAGGAATCCAGCCCTGCCAGCTCCACACTTTGCGTGCCAAATGCTGGCATCGTTCCTCACGAGTGAAGTGGCAATAGCCAGAAGAGCCTTGAGCCTTCCATCTCCTCCTCTCCTGACAGCCAAAGTTCAGTTGGAGTGCAGCTCTCCAGAGCACTGCGACCCCAGGGACAAGCAGCAGCCTCAGTTGAGAGCGAATTGAGAAGAAGCCAAGAGGCAGGAGGAGCTGAGGCTGCTTTTAGAGACAGAGCTCTAATTAGAGTAGGGAAAACAAACAGCAGGAAAACAGCACCACTGAGAATAGAGCAGGGAGCCAGGCACCCTGGGCTTGGGCACAAGGCCACCGTGTTGCAGCACGGGTTTGCCTGCTCACCACATTGTGCAGTTTGACCCCTTTCAAAAGGCAATTAAGTTTTTGAAAGTATCTCTGTACAGACAAGTCTGAAGACCCCAAAGGTTGGACTGTTGCTGCAGTTGGCAAGCATGCTTGGCTTCCACTTACTGAACTGAGGCAGGGAAACAACCAGGTAAAAAAAACAACCTGCAAGTCCCAGAAGACCTCAGCTAACCCATGAAAACCTGTCTGCACGGGGAGCTGAACATCTGCTGTCAGCAAGCCGCTGCTCCAGAGGTCACCTAAGAGCAGGTGTGCATTCCCAGGAGCTCAGCACCTGCTGGCAGCTCAGGAACAGCATCGAAACACACCCCAAAGCCCTGCCCCCACCCCTCGTGTCCCCAGCTCACCATAGGGATCCTGCCACGCTTCAGGGTGGAGCGCAGGCGGCGGCTGATGCGCTGGAAGCACTCCTTGGGTGTGTAGGCAGGGTGCTCTGCAGCCAGCAGAGGGAAGAAAAGAAGGCATTTAAATGGGGTCTGCAGCCCCGTGGCGTCACCTCACTTAGGTGCTCAATGAGCCCCCAGGACCCCAGCCAGCTACCGCAGCCACAGCTGGCCCACATAAACTCCCACTCAAGTTCATGATGGGGTTTTGTGGGGCCTCCAATCCCTTCAGGCACTGTCGCACCCCTGCCCTGCCATGACTGGATGGTGCAGGGAGCACCTCAGGAAAAAGCAGCCTTCCCAAAGTGCATGTAAAGGAGGGAAAGGAGAGGCTCTCCCCACCCGGCTTCCCCTCCCAGAACCTTTCCACTTCTCTTTGTTTTTCAAGGGCAGCTTCCTCTTGTGCTTCTTCCCGGCCTCCTCCTCCAGGTAAAGCAGGACACGCTCTTGCTCTTCTCCTGACCGGTTCATGAAGTCATTCCAGATCTGACAACACAAGCATGAAGCCCCAATGCAGACATCACAGGTATGCTTCCTGGTATGCCCAAGCCTCTGCCTCGAGGAGATGGATGTTTGGCACTCAGAGCCAACAAGAAGGTGGCTTTCTGCAGGGAGTCCAAGTGATGACACCTCCATCCATCCACGCAATCCAGCCAGACAGACATCAGGCTTTCCAAGGCTGGATTGAGTAAGAGCGGAAGAGCTTCACAGCACCCAGAGTGCACAGAGACCACACGTATAGCCCTGCAGCCAGAGCTGTGAACACCTAACACAGGAGAGGTGCCAGAAGACGAGGTCACGGAGGAGGTACAGCAACACCACCCGGGCTGTATGGAGCAACCGAGGTGTTTGGCAAGAGGCCTGGTGTGGAGGAAATGCTGCAGCTCACTCAAGATTACCCTCTGCAGCTTGCCCAAAGCTACGCAAAGAGCTCCCAGCAGCACTTCAAGTACAACAAGAACAGCAGCAGACCCCAAACCAGTCAAAGCACAGCACCTACTGCCAAGCCAGGCCCTTATATGGACTCTGAGGGAAATGCAGGCAGCCCCTCTGTCAGGGGCAGCAAGGTACAAGCACTCCACGCACTGAATGGCAGCAAAACAGGCAGCCACATCCTACCTCCACATAGGTCTCATTGTTGCAGGCCTCGGTGAAGATGCTCGGGGTGGCAGAGTGGGCGAGCTCAGCCTCACTGCTGCCACATTCATCTCGCTCCAAGAGTGACATCAAGTAGCGAGCTGGGGAGGAAAGCAACAGCAAAGCCCCTGAGTCCGGGGGCAGGGTCCTCACAGAAGTCCTCACTGCAGGCAGTGTAGGGAACTGGGGGTGGACTGCAGCCACCCAAGCCTTACTGTTCTCCAGCCTCTGCAGGCTCTTGCGCCCCTTGGCTTTAGGGATGAGGTCAGAGTTGCGGATGGCCTTGTTGATGTAGTACTGCTTCCGCTTGGAGGGGGAGAAGCGCTTGGATGGGGAGCTCTCCAGAGGTGGCAGGCAGTCCTCAATCCTCCTGCAGGGATGGGACAGAGGGGCTGAGCTCCCGAGGCCCCTTGGGCCCATAGTGATGGCAAGGTTGTGCAAACTAAGTAGCCTCCAGCAACAGCATTACTGCAAGAAGGCAACAACCCTGAGCTCCACCGAGACACTTGGAGGTGTTTGGCTTTTATTAGTAATGATTATGTAGTCAGGGTGTTGTTTAGATGTAGACACAGTTGAAAGAATGATCATAAAAGGGCGGATTTAACAGGAAGGTTGAACTGAGTGATCAGCAAAAGCTCCCTGGGCACCTACAGCAACTGGCTTTGCTATCAAAGTTGACCAAAGCCCAGCCAAACACAGGAAGTTTCACTGCCTTTTGCTCTTTGCTCACTTGCTAAAGTCTCTGCACCACCAGCTTCCCCTCTGCTTTGTGGGGATTTCCTTTAGCAGAGCAATAAGAGAGGGGCAAAAAAAACACCCAAAACCAACCCAAACAAACACAACGAATGAAACAGCAGCAAAACAAACAGCAGGCAGCAGGGCAACAGGGAGCACAGCCAGCACAGCCGCCCAGGGGCCGGGCACAAATCGCTCCTCACGGGTCGAGAGGTCGCAGCCCCCCCAGCCCCCATCAGCACCCCCAGGCCCGGACAGCGCCCTTCCGGCTACGTTCCCGGTACCGGCGGAGGGCAGCGGCCGGGGACACGTCGCTCCCGCAGCCCCCAGCAGCACCACCCGGATCGCCCCGCAGCGACACTCACGGGAAGGGCTCCGGGGAGCCGCGCACCGCCGCACCGCCCGGCAGCACCACCATAGCTGGGCTTCGCGCCGCCGCTTCGGCCTTAAAGGGACCGCGGAACCGGGCCCCGCTCGGCCCGACAGGAAGTGACGTCACCAAAGGGCGGGTCTGAGCGCGCTCGCCCACCCAGCCGCAAGGCGGCGCTGTAGCAGCGCCCCCAAGCCGCCTCCAGGCTCCGCGCCGCGATATTTGCATGCGGCGGCCGCTGTACTCCAATAGGAAAGTGGGGCGGGGCGAGGCGGCAGGAGACAGCCAATTAAAACGCGAGGCGGGGCGGAATGAGGCGTGGCGGGAGCGGTGGGCCAATGGCAGCGCGGGGCGGGGCACTGCCGGGCCCCCCTGCCCGCCCGTCCGGAGAGCAGCCGACGTGCGGGCACCGAGCGCAGCCCCGGCCCCGCTGCAGCCCGAGCCCCGGGCGGCCGTGGCTGCTATGTGGCTTCGCGGCGCGCGGCCTCCACCGGGTAAGAGGTGCGCACCGGGGCCGGTTACCGCGGACTGGGGCTCTTCTCCTCGCTGCCGCTCGGTGGGTGGCTCTGGGCTGCCCCGCGTTCGGTACCCGAGGTCACGGACGAGTCTCTCTCCCGCGGCGCGTTACCGGTGGACCGCGGTGTTTTTCCCTTCCCCTTCCCCCTCTTCCTCCCTCTCCGTGGTCGGTAACGGCCGCAATGCCGCGCGCCGTTTGCTCGGCCCGGGACTTCCCCTCCGTCCGACTCGAGCCGCGCCGCCGGCTGCCCATCCCACGGTCGGTTACCGGAACCCCGTTGGTGGCGTTGAAGCCGGCGGGGACCGCAGGAATCCCCGCGGTGCCCACGCACTGCGAACGGGGCTGCGGAGGACGGCACCGGGCACAGATCGCAGAGCCGCCCCGGCCTTCTTCTGTTCCCCCCCGTTCCCCCCTTCGCCGTGCCTCGTTCCCGGCCGCTGCCACGTGCCCCGGACCGAGTCCATCCCACCCCCCCCCCCCTTCCCACCCCCACCTCCGTCTCCCCTTGGGCTCCCTGTGCCCGTCCCCACGCGCAGCGGCACCGCCGGTTCCTCCTCCTCTCTGTTTCTCCTCCCTGTGCTCCCCGACTGCGGGCCGGACCAGGGAGCGTTCAGTTCCAGCGCCGTCCCCGCGCGAGGGTGAGCGACTGCCCGTGGGGCTGCAGGCATAGAATGGGGCCGGACAAAGGGGCTCGGGGTCACCGTGCTATGGAATTGCAGACACGGGGATCTGTGTGCCCATACAGTTACCCCACAGCTCTCTATTTCTGTGGCTGCAGCATAAATTGGCCCCAAATACTTCCAGTGGGAATAGGCAAAGTGGGGGCAATGGGGAATCTGAGGCTTGGGAAGCTGGTAACCCCCAATGGCAGCCAGTAGCCCTCCACCCTCGGGGCTGTGTAGGTGTTCCCCACCGTGAGCCATTGCAGGGAATGGATGAGATCTGGTTGCCAACCCTCGTAGACTCGAGGTGATTTCCCCTTTCCTGAACGAACACCCAGCAATGCAGTTTGATGAGGGGAGGGGGCTCCTGGCGTGCTGCTGGCTGAGCCCCCGTTCCTCATGTTGTTGGATGGTGCCAGGCCAGACACCTCAGTGTTTCTAGAAGGGGATTAACTGTGGGACAAGTGACCTTGTGGGTGGCTCACCTAGGAGAGGGCTGTCCTGCCCTGCAGCACAGTGTCCACGGGACCCCTACAGGATTCTGTGTTTTGGGACCATGCTTGGGGTGCTGACCGTGGGTGCTTCCCACATGTGGCATCTGCAACTCTGGGGAGCAGTGTCTGCCCCAAGGATGGCGACGCTGCACCCCACGTGTCCTCAGTGTCCCAGAGTGTCCTGCTTGGTCCCAGCAGCAAGGGACAGGCGGTGATGATTCCCTGTGTGGCCCCAGCAGGGTCTGTTATCTGCACTGCTGCTATCCGAGCTGCCTGGAGGCCCGGCTGGGCTATCTGGATGCAGGCCCCTTCCCCCTGCAGCAGCAGGGCCCGGCCTCCCTATCTCATTAGCTCGAGATTAATGAGGCTCCTGGGCTGTCTTTAACTCCTTCCTGCTCGCTGCCTCCTGACCCTCTTCTTTACTTGTCCCTGTGCAGGTTTGCGCCCACGCCTGGCCAAGGCTCAGCTGCCTGAGGACTGAGGATACTTTGCAGCCAACGGGGGGCCAAGGGCTGAACGCAACCCCTGGAAGTGCCTGGCAGTGAGGACGGAGCCATGCGCCTGGCAGCCGCCTGCTGACCCCACCAAACTCCTGACGACAGCCGAGCATCCCGAGCCCACATTCCCAACAGGAGCCCTGCTGCAAAACAAAGCGTGGGGTGGGCCGGGGGGCTGCATCGTCCCTTTCTGACCCACCTCGTGCCCCCCACGGCCTCGCAGAGCCCCCCAGTGCCTCTGCCGCCCTCCTGGGGGCTCGGCAGCCCCCTCACAGGGCTGCCCGCCCCACCGCCCTCGCCTTGGCCTCCCGCCCTGCTGGAGCGCGGCACCCTGCCGGGCGCTGCCCCCCGCGCCCCCAGGGCATCTCCCCCCGCCCCCCCGGGGCCCTGCCTCCCGCTGGCAGAGCCATGAAGCTGCAGGCAGTGATGGAGAACCTGCAGCGACAGCAGCGCGCCCGGCTGCAGCAGGCTCTGGAAGCACGGCAGCAGGAGCAGCAGCAGCAGCAGCAGCAACGCTCCACACCCCCCCCGGCGCAGCCCCCGCCGGCCTCAGGACAGACCCCTGCCCGGGGACGAGGCCCTGATCTGGCCCCAGCCCCTTTGGAGGAAGGCACAGAACCTGAGAGCGCTCACATCCAGAGGGCACAGATGGCTGCCCTGGCTGCCATGCGGGCCGCAGCCGCCGGCCTCAGCCACTCATCCAGCCCAGGGCTGTCAGAGGAGAGCCAGGAGGAGGAGGAGCGTGGTGAGGAGGAGGAAGAGGAAGAGGATGGCGGTGGCTACCAGCAGGAGATGGGCTCCGAGGAGGAGGAGGACCTGTGAGTACATGGCAGCACATGGGGCTCAGGGAGGAACAGGGGAGCCGGGGCAGGTGGGCAACAGCACCAGGTCCTCCCTTGGAGACGATGCATGGTGCCTGGGGTGGAGCTGCTGCCCTGTTGACAGGCACTGGAATCGGCTGTTTTCACCTTTCCCAGACCCATGTGGAGCCATCTGCCTCATGGCACTGGTTCCTGGCGCTGGCTGGGCAGTAGGTAAAATTCAGCTCTGTCTGAGAGCCACGCTGGGGCAGTGATACGGGATCCCAGTCTGGTTCTGAATGATGACGGGCCATCGGTGGTGCCTCTGCCCGACCTGCAGCTCCCTGGGCAGATCACAGACTCCCAAAATGAGGGACAGCCCACAGGGATGGCTGGAGGCCCAACAGACCTCATTCATATGCTACTGAGGGTCTGGGAAAGGCTTCTGGAAGTAGGGAGGGCTCGTGGGAATGTCTTCCCACCTCCTGCCCACGAGTCTGACTCTGCAGGAGTGCTGTGCAGATGGGCCACCTTAAGGGTGCTAATCACACATCTCCCCCCTTTCCCTGCTCTAGGAAGGGCAAATGGGATGAAGAAGAATTTGAAGAGGACCTGGGCGAAGAGGAGGAGGAGGAGGAGGAAGAAGAAGAAGAAGAGGAAGAAGAGGAGGAAGAAGAAGAGGAGGAAGACTATGAGGAGGAGGAAGACATGGGCGAGGAGGGGCTGGGCTCAGCGGAGGCGGTGCGGACAGGCACGGGGTCCCTGCTGCTCCGAAAGCCGCCGGCACCTCAGCACTGCCGGGGTGAAGCACAGCGGCTGCCGGGCGCACAGGAGCGACTCCCAGCTGGACTGGGCCCCCAGGGCCACGCACAGCTCCCACAGCCTGCACCCGACCACGGCGACTGGACCTACGAGGAGCAGTTCAAGCAGGTAGGAGCCGAGGGGACGTGGGGTTGGAGGGTTGAGCTGGGTTCGGTGCTGCTAAGAAACCGCCGGGTTCTTCTGGGGTTTGAGTCCCTCGGCTCGTTGCAGGGAGCTGGGAGAATTGCTGGGAACGAAGGGCTTGGGGAAAAAATGTCACTCTGGGTTTGCAAATGTGAAGATAGCTCTTGGGTTTGCCCTTCTCCACGTTGCTGGGGTTGTTTTGGTGGGCTCTGTGCCAGCAGAGGCTGCAGCCCTCCAAGCTCCGGACTCTCTTCCACGTGCCTGGCCGTGGGCTGCACAAACCCGAGCTCGGGGCTAATAGAAGGAAATAGTGTAAAGCGGGGCTCCCCGGGGGCTGCCCCGGCCCTTTGATGTGTGTGTTTAAGTACATCTGAGTTTAGGGCTGGGGGAAGGGGGCGAGAGCAAACAGCAGCAGATGGGACCCAGATGGAGAGTGTGATGTTTTGGGAGGGGTGCAGTGGCCGCTGCCCCTCGCTCAGCTTGGGGAGGTGGGCTGGGGGCTGCTGCTGCTGGGGGATAAGGCAGCACTGTGCCATCCCATTGCCTCTGTGCTGTGAGAGGAAAACGGCTGCCCAGGGCTGGAGGCTGTTGCACAACTCCCGGCCGCCCCAGCAGCGTACAGCCAGGGTTGGAGAATTTCACAGCGTGCTGGGGCAGGGAGGAGAACGCCCTGGACTGCATTCGCCTCCTGGGTGAGCAGTGCTGTGGGGTCTGGGGGCTGCCCTGCTGGCTCTGATTGGGGGAGCAGCAGGACAGGAGCTGTGCGGATCCCGCAGCGCCTGTGCACAGCTGCAGGGCTGGGAGCCTTTGCTGGAGCAGGGCCACTTGGCACCATTTGGCACAGCACGTGGCTGAGCTCCCTGTGCTGCTGCCATCCCCGTGCCCACCATCCGCAGCACGGCAGGCAGCGAGGGCAGCGTTCAGCCCCTGCTGCCCCTTCCCTGGGTGCTTCACAGCAGCCCTGGTGCCTTCGGTGCTCCTCCGTAACCCCAACGTACGTCCGTGTGGGTTTTATGAACACATTGAACTTTTCCTGTGCTGTCTCGAGTGCGTACATATCCTCACCTCCTGGCGCTGCATCGTCTTTCTTCTTGTGGTTTCTCTCTTTTGTACTTCCTGTAATTAGAGAGTGGGGGACGTAATCTTTTTATCTGTGAAAAGGCTTTTAGATACCACGGCTGTGATCTTCCTGTTTGTCGCTGTATGAGCGTATCCCAGCCCTGCGCAGGGAGCTCCCGGCCGTCGGTGCCCGGCAGCACAGCGTGGGGCTCAGTCCCACCTCTCCCACCCCACAAATGGATACGAGGGGCCGTGCACCCATCCCTCTGGGCACCACCGGGACAGCTTCCTGATTGTGTTGGAAGCACCCAGCGTTGAAGGGGAAGGTGCCTGCTGCCTCCGTGCCGTGGGTGGAGGCAAGGAAGCAAAGCGCCCGCTCGGGGAGAGGCTTCCCCCGGCACGTCAGCTTGGATCCTGGCCTCTGGATTGAGGCCAGGGGCTGTGAGCAGCGCCTGCCCGGGAGCTCCTCCTGGCTGCCCTCCAACGCGTGCCTCCCAGCTCGCCCCGGCCCAGCTGACGGGCTGGGAAGGAGCAGCAGGAATGTAAACACAGCGCAGGCAGGATGCGCCCGGCTCCGGGGGGCGCGGGGGCTGCAACCTCTCTGCTCTGTGCCTTTAACCCAGTGTGGAAAGAGTCGACTGCGAACGCAGTGCTGCAGCCCAGGGATGGAGTGGAGAGGGATTGTGGTGCTGGGGGCAGTCCCTGGGTGCTGGGGGGGTTCTTTTATTTGCTCACCCACCGCTCGGGGCTGTGAGCGCTGCTGTGCAGTGATGGTGTTGCTGTGATGGGGACGTGCAGCTTGAGGAAGGTGCTATTTCTGGGTTCCTCTTTTCTTTATTTTGCAGCCGAGCTCCTTGCAGGCCAGCTCTGCTGGGATGCAGTTCCAGCAGCCCCCCACAATCCCACCCTCCCTTTATGGCTGCACTGCCCTGGGGGGGGCTCTGCGCTCCCCTCTGCCGAGGCACTTTATTGACTCATTTGGGGCAGATTCCTGCAAATCAGCCCTCTGGAAGCTGCTGTGCAATGGGGCGAAGGGGAAGCGTGCGGGGTCGGGAAGCCAATGCGTGGCACCTCCCCATCCCTGGGGACGGCCACTGAGAGGCAGAGGTCAGCTCCTGCTGACCTGGGCGCTGCCCGTGCAGCAGCAGAACAAAGGAGCCTGCAGGGCTGGGGGCTGCCGGGGGCTCCTCAGTGGGGAGCTGGGGGGCTGCAGGCTGGGGGCTCAGCTTGTTGCTGGTGCCAGGGCAGTGCTGAAATCCTTTGCTCTTGCTGGCTGTAAGCACGTCGCTGAGCTTATGCTGGGCTGGGTGAGGAATGTGCCTTTTCCTGCAGAGGAAAATCCCCTTTGCAGGATGATGATACTGAGACCCGCAGCAACCAGTGCCTGGGGGAGGGCACAGCTGGAGGCAGTCGGAATGCTTCTGAGAACCTCCCTTCCTGGGAACCATGGGGTTTTTGGGCCCTTTACCCAGTGCAGGGCTCGATTCAAGGAATGACCCCAGCCCACTGTCCGCATCCCTCCCCAGTAACAGAGAGCAACGTGGCCCTCGCTCTTCGTTTCGCCTCCCTCCCTCTTCCTTCCTTCCTATAAAAGCCTGCAGTGGGGCTGACCCCCTGTGCCTTTGGGGCAGGAAAAGGTTTGTGCTGGTTGCCTTTCATCTGCCTCAAGTGGGATGCTGAGACCAGGGCTGGCGTCAGCCAGGCAATGCCACTACATCTGGGCTCCCAGCATCGAGCCTGGAGCTCTCAGCCGTACAGAGGCAACTGGAATAAGGCAATCCTGGAGCTCTGTGGACTGTCCCCATGCCCAGAGACACCGCAAGCTCTGGCCACGGCCGTGCTGGGCTGTGCTTGGGTGAATTGCTGAGCACAGGCAGCTCAGTGCCTGCAAACGAGCCGGCGGTGCAAAGTGCTGCGTAATGCTGCCCTGGGGAGCACAGAGCTGGAGGAACCTCAGCATAGGACCCCAGTGCGCAGTGCAGTGCCCCGGGAGAACCCCTCTCCTGACCTTTCTGTTTCGGCTGAGGATATGACTGCACCCCACTAATACCAGGAGCCTGAACCGGGGGTGCGCTCGCAGCCCACGCCATCGCAGTTTCCTGTCCCTGCCCCTTTTGGAGTTTCCTGTGCTGAATGTGAAAGCCAGCTGCTGGTTGTGCACCGTGGGCAGGCGCACGGCTCTGATTCAGCAGCAAGCCAGGTGTGTGCACCCCATCACCCCGCAGGGGAACCAGGGCTGCCCTGCCACAGAGGTGTGCGTGTGCCAGATTTCGGAGCTGGCAGCAGGGATGGGGCTGGGAGGAGCTGATTGCGCCCTGCACGTGCTTAGGGTCGCTTTGCCTCTCTGTGCCTGCCATCACAGCTGGGCTGTTGGTGAGAGCTCGGTGCCATGACTTGGTGCTGCAGGCAGGTGCTGGAGCCCCGTGGTTCTGTTCCTATTTAAAAGCAGCTTTAAAAAAGCCCACGGAGTGGGGGGAGGTTGGCTTGTGGTGAGCTGCTGGTGCTTTTAGGGGAGACGGGAGGTTTCTGAAGCGTTCCAAATTGGGATGCCTCAAACACGCTGGTAGCACAAAAACCTCAGTCCTTATCTGCTGCTGAGCAAAGCCTGCCCGAGATACGGGGTTTCAAAGTGCAACGGTTAGGATAAAAAAGCAACAAACCGAAAGCAACTCAGTAACCCCAGCACGGAGCTCAGGCCGTGTCCAGCCCTGTCCCATTCCTCACTGGTCTGGACAGGGAAAAACACCCTGGGCTTTTGCTGATAGATGTGCTGTTTTCGTTCTCCTCTCGCCGATGGCAGCGTGGTGGGTGGGGGTAATTGCAGGCAGCCCCCAGAACTGGGTGGTTGTAACACGAGCGTCGCGGTGCCCCTGGGAACGATGCTGGTTCCTGGGTCAGATTCACCCTGCAACTCAGTCTGTCCATCAGTCCGTCTGTCCGTCCGCCTGCACGGCGCTGGGGCCGCAGCCCCCGGGGCAGGTGCCCTCAATGGTTTCATGCTGTTCACATGACTCAGGCAGCAATTAAAACTGAAAAGGGGGAAATGCAAGAGGGGCCGAGGAGGCAGAGGAAATGGTGATTTCTTGCTCAAAGGCGCCCTTTGAATGCAGCCGGTGCCGCTCGCAGCGCGCGAGGATCCAACGCCGCTTTTGTTCCGGATCGGCCCCCTCTGATGGCTCTGGGGGAGGCAGTTGGTTGTGCAGCCCCAGGGACGTTCATGGCTTCTGTGGTGAGCACAGCGATCCTCTCCCGTGGCCATTTGTGGTGAAGGTCTTAAAGCTGTTCCTTATAGTGCTCGTTTTTTGGGGGGGTAAAAGCCCAAATGGTGTCCGGTGCTCAATGGGGTTGGCTCCATGCTCCCCACTTTGCTGTGGGCACTGGGGCTGTGGTGGAAGGGAGACGAAGAACCCCCCCCCCCCCAGCTGTAGATTTCCATCAGCTACACACAGAACAGCAAACTGCCAAATGCTGCTCCCGATGGGTGTGGGGAGCCTTCCCCATAGCAGAATTGAGATCAGCCCAACCTCTCCTTTCACTGGGGGAGGGAGGGAAGAGGGGGAACCGGGGCAGATTCCCCCCCTGCAGGGGCTATGCCTCTCTTAACAACAGTAGAAGAGTCCATTTACTTTCTTTTAAAATATCGATCGGAGCTTTATTGCGTTAGCGAGCCGAGCGGATGAGCTGCCCCCAGGGAGGCAGAGGGGCCTCTTCCTCGGGGGGTCCCCCCACCTTGTGCCCTCCCACACATACCCTATGGCAGGGGGGGGGGAGGTCAGGCAGATAGAGCTGGGCCCCAACCCCAGGCACTGCTGCACCCGGAGGACAGCGATTGCAGCGCCTGGCGGGCAGATAACGGGGCTGAAGAGGAAATGGGGGGGTATGGCAAGGAGAGGGGGGTGAGGGGGGAGCAGGAGAAGCGCTGGGAATGCGTGGGGTGGGAGTTGAGTTGCGTGCGGATGAGTCGCTTCCAAAGGCGCTGGGTTTGCTCCTTGTTCGGGTTTTGTTTGCTGTAAAGTGCAAAGCTGCAAATCTAGAGTGTCGGGGGTGGGGGGGAGGCAAGAAATCCTTGCCCCTCTCTATCCCCGTCCTGCTCTTTGCCACCCACTGAAGGGTGTTCCTGGTGAGGGATCCATCATGGTAATCAGCTCAGGGTGCTCCAGGAGCCTTCCCGCAGCCCTAATCCCCCAATCCCAGCTGGGGGTCAGGGACTTCTCCTCGGCTTAGCCACAAAGTGCCTCCCAGGCTCAGGTATCTCAGCTGCTGGGTCATTGCTCTGGAGGTGCCACCTTCAACCGGGGCACGCTGCTCCCTGCAAGGCGCTGGGATGCCCGGTTGGTGTGTGCCAGAGGGACCGACCCAATGTTCAAACCAGGGGTGGGAGGAGAGGACGGAGCAGGGCCAGCCCTGCTGCTGATCGTCACGCTTCTGGGCTGGGGGTCCCGAACTGCCGCCTGCACCACGAGCATCACCCCCTCCTTCAGAGCCTCAGGGCTGAATCACAGTGCTGCAGAGGAGGCAGCAGCCTCACGGCTCCGGCACAGCTGAACCAACAGGAATAAGGGCTTATTTAAAAGAGAGGGGGAAAAAAAAAAAAAAAATTGTTGCAGAGAATAGAGCACAAACCCTTTGTCAGCAAAGCAAACAGCCGTGCCGGGAGCAGAGCGGTTGGGCAAGGGTGCAGCGTTGCTCCATCGCCCTATTTCTGGCCGAAACCACAGCAGAAACACCAGGCTGCTGGGGGCGGCCGGACGTGCTGCAATCGTGGGGTGGGGGGCCCTTGGGTGGGGGGCGGCCGCTCCCCGTGTGCTCAGCCCTGATAAGGCACCTGCCTGCATGGCTGCCGTGCCGGGAGCTGTGGGCGCAGCCCCTGACCCCCTCTGTGACCCTCGCTGTAAGTCCCTTAATCTCTCCACGCCTGGGTCTCTTGTCTGTAAAGTGGAGCTGATGATAATCCTGCCTTTGTCGTGGCTGCTCCTGGGCAGGGACTCTGCTCGCTGCGGTGGAGGGAGCCCTGCTGGTACCTGTGCTCTGCAGGATGCTACGGGGAGGGGGGCGAGAGGCTTGGCCTCCCGCCTCGGTTCCCATCTGAGCATCGCCCCCGTCTGCAGCGCAGCGTTGGCCGTGGAAACGTTTCGGTGAGGTTCTGCCGTGCGCCTCAGCAGATTGGCAGCGATGGTTTGCGGGGCTGACACCCGCAGCCGGCTGCTACCAGGGCCATCCACAGCCAATGGGCCTCCCCAGAAGGGCTGGGGGTGGCACAGCCTGACCAGGACCAGCTCCCCCCCCCATGGGGACAGCTTGCTGTGCAGCGCCCGCCAGGACCGAGAGGCACGAGGCCTCGCATTTCAGGAACAGATTTGCAATTACACAAATCCCCAGCCCTACCGGGGCTGAGAGTGGAAACCCTGGGTGACTCATCTGCTTTGGCTTACAATGATCTCCTTTCTAAGACGATCATTTACATATGGTGGAATTTAAACCCCAGCTTGCCTACAACGGCTAATTCAGCCACGCTCCTGCCCCTTCTCTCCTCTGCCCGTGCAGGTGCTGGAGCTGCACACCCTGCCCATGCACCCTGCCCATGCACCATGCCTGCAGCCCCAACCCAGGCGTGCATGCAGCCAGCGGTGCCCCCCATACAGTCCCAGCTCTGGGGTGGGTTCCCCCATAGAGCCACTCACTCCTGGTGCCGGGGCGTTGCTGCCTTGGACACGCTTTCTCAATACTTACTGACTGCACTGAATTAATATTTGCACAGGGTCAGGTGTGATAGAGAGCATGTGTCAAGGGCATGCACAAACACATACGTGGCGAAGGGCTGCGGGAGCCGCTGGTGGAAGCTGACTTCCAAATGACCTTTCCTGGATGGCAGCTTTTGGCTGGAAAGAGAGGAACTGCCTCAAAACAGCGTGCTGCCGGGGCTGCCCCCCATCATGGGGTGGCTGTGGCAGTCGGGTTGCTCTGGCATGGGGAGGAAAGGGGCTCCTTGGTGACCTCTCAGCAGCCCACACTGCGCTGTGCCGTTTGCATTCCAGCCATGAACTCTGTGCGCTTTTATTGGAGCCGGAGCCCTGCGAGCTGCCACCAGCCCTCAGTCCAAAATAGTTGTTTGAAATGCAATTGCAGCAGAATTCACTTCCTCCTTTGTAAAAAAAAAAAAGAGGGAA